CCAAAATCTTGCCAAGGAAACTGTCCAGGAAATCACCAGAAGTCAAGACTGATTTGAAAGCAATAAATAAATAAAATCTGGAACAGTTTCACGAAGAGTGTGACATCAGAAGAACCAATGACTTTTCATTCAACGGGTTTGTCTATGGAGATTCTCACTCGTCCAGATTATAGTTGGCCCAAAGGTGTTTTTCCAAAAGCAACTCTTTTCCTTGAAGAGGTTTTTGCTTCTCATCCAAGGAGCTTCTTTAGTTGTGACTGAAGAAGTGTCAAGAACAAAATTTTGGTAGTTATGTGCCTCTATGTTTCAACTTGCCATTAGATTAAGGAGGGAGGGAGGTGTTGCTTTAAAATTGGTTAAGATGGAGAAACAAAACCTCTACGAATTCACTGACGAACACAAGAGCCTGAAACCTTTTCAAGGACACTGCAGCAGGTGTGGAGAGAAAGCAGACGGTTCCCAGAACAAAATGAAATTGTTTACATGAACTATGTGAGAGAGTGGGGGGGTTGGCTGGGGAAATTATTGTTTAATTCTATGAACTGGTATCTGGGGACTTCAGAGTTAGTTTTGCTTCAGCATTTCCATGCTGTGTATTCAATAAACAGTAAGATTTTTGGAAGCGGAATGAACCTGGAGTTTTATTGGGATTCTCGAGTTGAATGTGACAAGAAGCTTTTTGGATGAGAAGCGAAACGTCTTCAAGGAAAGGCAAAAGTCCATTTGCCTTTTGAAAAAGCACCTTTGGGGACATCCCCACTCAAAACCAGTCTGATTTTTATTAATTTATGTATTATTGATGATGATGTGCTTTCAAATCAGCAACGACTTTCGGCAACCGGCTGCACTAAACTTGACTTTGCCTTATGAAAAAATCCGGATGTAGGGAAAAAAACCCCATTCCTCCTAACCCAGGGGTAGGCAACCTTGGCTCATTTATGACTCGTGGACTTCAACTCCCAGAATTCCTCAGCCAGCCACACTGAGGGGAAAGGGAGAGGTTTCCAAGCTGAGCCATGCTGGCTCAGGAATTCTGGGAGTTGAAGTCCACGAGTCATAAAAGAGCCAAGGTTGCCTACTCCTGTCCTAACCGGTTTCCTTTTCATTTATAGTATTTTCAGCACAAGTTTGTCCTTTAAACTTACAACCACAACCGAGCCCAAGTTTCCATTGTTAAGGAAGCAGTTGTTAAATGAATTTTGGCCTATTTTATGACCTTTTAAGATAAGAGAAGATAACCTTCATTGCCATTTTCTTACTGTGGGCGCAACGACATACATCAAAAATGAAATTTAGTTGCCCGCTCTCAAAGTATTTATTTCAGGTGAACTCCAAAAATCCCGCCCTATAGTTTTAAAAGCAAACATTCAATGGTCTTACCTAAAGCTCCGGTAAGGTGTAATTATTTCGAAAGATTGTTTTGCGGCCCGATCAATCTGCCTCACATTAGCCACATTCATAGGTATGACGGTAATGCCATAGCCAGATTTAAAATCCTGAAGGAGAGAAGGAAAGCACATTAGAATCCTGTTTAAATAAATAAATAAATCAGGTGAAATTTTGTTATTTTGAAACCAGAATTGGCTAGGGTAGGTCTCTGCAGAACAGAGAGCCATGTTAAGGTTCCTTTATTGCTTGTGTTGACCGCTTGGCCCAACCGTTCTATGAATTATAATTTTAATGTCCTATCCAGCAGATTTCACGCAATGCAATTCCCTAGATTTTTCTATGAGTTTGACATCAGAGTTTGTTTGTGTGTGTGTGTTATAATAATGATAATGATGATGATGATGATAATGATAATGATAATGATAATGATAATGATAATGATAATGATAATGATAATGATAATGATAATAATAATAATAATAATAATAATAATAATAATAATAATAAGAAGAAGAAGAAGAAGAAGAAGAAGAAGAAGAAGAAGAAGAAGAAGAAGAAGAAGAAGAAGAAGAAGAAGAAGAAGAAGAAGAAGAAGAAGAAGATGATGATGATGATGATGATGTTGGAAGGGACCTTGGAGGTCATCTAGTCCAACCCCCTGCTCAGGCTGGAAACCCTATATCATTTCGGACAAATGGCTGTCCAGTCTCTTCTTAAAAACTTCCAGTGTTGGAGCATTCACAGCTTCTGGAGGCAGGTTGTTCCACTGGTTAATTGTTCTAACTGTCAGGAAGTTTCTCCTTAGTTCCAGGTTGCTTCTCTCCTTGATTAGTTTCCATCCGTTGCTTCTTCTCCTGCCCTCAGGTGCTTTGGAGGATAGCTTGACTCCCTCTTCTTCATGGCAACCCTTTAAATATTGAAACACTGCTATTGTGTGTGTGTGTTTCTGTGTGTGTGTGTGTGTGTGTGTATGATTTCAAAAGTGAAACTCAAGAAATATGTGAGAAGCAAGAGCCATGGTGGCGCACTGGTTAGAACGCAGTATTGCAGGTTAACTCTGCCCATCGCCAGGAGTTCGATCTTGACTGGCTCTAGGTTGACTCAACCTTCCATCTTTCCGAGGTCAGTAAAACGAGGACCCAGATTGTTGGGGAGCAAAATGCTGATTCTGTAAACCGCGTAGAGAGGGCTGTAAAGCACTGTGAAGTGGTATATAAGTCTAAGTGCTGTCTTCCTTCCTTCCTTCCTTCCGAACTCAAAGGGGTCACTTGTGGCTACGTAGGGATTCTAGGCTGGTCCCTCTTTTAACACCGCCCTCAGTTTTTGCCATTCTTCCTGTTACATGTTCTGAACTTGTAATCTTTTTCAACAAAGTTCCTCCTCCTTGTTGGACACTGAGAAAACTTAACATTCCCCAAACCAGGAAGAGAACACAGCCTTTTAAATGATAAACAGCAGTGATGTCTTCAGATTCAGCTCAGTGGGTTACCGTTGTCTTCTTCCAGGGTGTATTTTCAATTCCTCAGTCTAGCCGACACCATTAGAACTTCCTTTTGGTTTTCTGTTCACGGAGTAAGGGTACCTGATTTTGTTTACTTTCTGAGTGCAGACAAAAATCGACGGAGTCTTCTACTTCCTGAGTCGTCCAAATACTAGTTTTAAAATTCAAACAGTCCTTATTATAGACTGCACAGATACACAGAGATACACACTTATTTTTTCACCACTTCTAGACTTTGGTCTGCAGTGACACTCTGTGGCAGCAGCCAAGATCTATCACAGGAATAAGGTTAAAAAAATCTGCTGTTGTTGTTTTTTTTAGTATAGCTCACATATAGAAATATTACTCTCCTTAAACTCTTAATTGTGTATCCGGCAGTATGATTTCAGGTGAATGTAATGTCCAGGCTGATAGAGATATTTTCTGTCCAAGCCATAATAAGATCTATGATGGACAGGGTTGAAAATACTTACATTGCCACGTAGCAAGCTGTAATTAACTTTATTTCAAGAGAACATTTGTGCATTTACCAGGAAATTTAAAATGACGTGCTTGAGGTTGTTTTTTTCCTCCCATTGCTTCCAGAACATTTGTTTCGTACGTACTCTGCCATTTCTAATGATTTGTGGGCTACACGTCACATTGAGGTTGGCAACAAAAGTGATCAATGAAAGCTATCTTCTCTCTTCTTCTCCACAGCACAATGCTATGTGTCCACCCGATGGGAAGTCCAGGAAGTCGTCTATTACAAAAAATCCAAAAATCGGTGGCCTTTCTTTAATACCAATTCAGCACAACCCAAGGATCCCAAAAGCTAAAGCCAGCTCAGCTGAGGTAAATATTTCCAGTAAATATTTCCAGAGGTAAATATTTGTGTCGCTGACGTTCCAACGATGTAAAAAAGATGTTGAGACTCTAGAAAGAGTACAGAGAAGAGCAACAAAGATGATCAGGGGACTGGGGGGCTAAAACATATGAGGAACGGTTGCTGGAATTGGGTATGTCTAGTTTAACGAAGAGAAGGACGAGGGGGGACATGATAGCAGTGTTCCAATATCTCAGGGGCTACCCCAAAGAAGAGGGAGTCAAGCTATTCTCCAAAGTGCCTGAAGGCAGGACAAGAAGCAACGGATGGAAACTAATCAAGGAGAGAAGCAACCAGGAACTAAGGAGAAACTTCCTGACAGTTAGAACAATTAACCAGTGGAACAACCTGCCTCCAGAAGCGGTGAATGATCCAACACTGGAAGTTTTTAAGAAGAGACTGGACAGCTATTTGTCCGAAATGGTATAGGGTTTCCTGCCTGAGCAGGGGGTTGGACTAGATGACCTCCAAGGTCCCTTCCAACTTTATCATTATTATTATTATTATTAGATGAATAAGCAGGAGGCAACTCTACAGAACAAGAGACAGACCTACAAGGATGCAGAAATTAAACCATTTTGGGAACATCCCAAATAATTTCTCATTAATAAAGAGGCAGAAGACTTTACGGTGGACAAACTAGGTAGCCCACAGCAAGGGGGGGGGAAATAACAGTTTGGCCACAATCAATCTATTTATTTATTTTTTTATTTGCACAAGGAGAGTGTTTTTCTGCTTTGCTAGGCTCTGCTTTGCTTTCCGAGCGCGGCTGAACGCCGTAATAATTAAGCAGGGCTTATTCAGACTTTCACACTCTGCTAGCTAATGGACTCCAGCAATTGTGATCGTATTATGTCCCCCCCCCCGGGCTCAGCTCATTTATATTCAGATGTCTGAAGAGTCAATATCAATGGCTGGCATTTGCTTAACAGCCAGCAATAAAGGGAAAGATAATAGAATCACAAGCCCATGAAAGCAATCGTTCCATCCAGACTTGCCCTTCTGACAAGCCCCAACACAATAGTTACACTAGGCGTTTAACCTTGGTTATTTACAACAACCGCTGTTACTATCAATGGAGGAGAGTATGTGTAGCTCAGGGCTGAAATGGGGGGTCCTTGGTGCTCTCTGAGCTTGCTTGTTTTCTTGCAGACGTTTCATGACCCTAACTAGGTAACATCATCAGTGCTAGAAGGGAGGAGGGTTTGCAGGGAGGAGGAGGAGGAGGAA